ATATATATAGTATGTAGTATGTAGTATGTAGTATATAGTATATAGTATATAGTAGTGGTGGAAGCTGCAACTGAAGTGGGGGAGGAGTTAAAAGAGTGGCTAACCTGGAATCTTTGAAGGAGAGGGAATAAAGGAGATTAGAGCCACACACCCTTACCCTGGAGTGCTTATCTGGTTGTTTTGTAGTGAGTACAGTTAGTCTGGTGAAATTGTTGTAAATAGGTGAGTAGCAATAAGCTTACTACTCTGTTCAGTCTCTCAGTGTCATTCCTTGCACCTGGCAATAATACAGCAGAACCAGTTTGGTCTGGTGATGAAAGCACCAGTCTAGAAACGAGGAGACTGCCAATCATTGTCTCTTAACCTAACCCATCGCACAAGATTGTTGTGGGAAAAATAGGAGGAGAAAGGAGTATTAGATATGTTGGCCAACTTGAGTTAGTTATAAAAACAATAAAGGCAGGAAATAAATAAATAAATAAATAATCAAATAAAGTGACTTGTAGGTTGAAACATCTCTTTCTGTCTGCAAAGGCATATCTAAATGGAATTTTCTTCCAATATTGTTTGAAATCTGATTGATTGATTATGTGCTGACAATTAATAAATCAATACTTTAGATTTTTTTCCCCCATGAAAATCTTTCACGTTTTTCAAAAGTGCACCCATTAAGTCCAGTGGTCGGATTCTACCGGTTTGGCCGGTTCAGGTGAACTGGTAGTAAAAAATACTACCATTCAGCCAAACCAGTAGTAAAAAAACAGCTACCAGTTCGGCTGAAGGGGTATTTCTTTCTTTCTTTTTCCTCCTGATGATCAACTGTTCTGACGATCAGCTGTGCCGGGATCCCTCTCGCTGTCTTATTGCTTCGCCAAGGAGGTTCCCCTGAGGCCCAGGAGGCAAAAAAATGGATGCAGGGTGCTGCTGCAAAAAAAGCCATGCCCACTTAATCACATGGCCATCCCCACCTAGCCATGCCCACCTAGCCACACCACAGAACCAGTAGTAATTTGTGTCCCACCCCTGATTAAGTCTCTTAAAATATATGTATTATAACTGGTACTGGATTATTTGCATTGTTTCAAACTATTTTCAAGTCACAAATGTATTTATTCACATATAGAAAAACCATGTGCATTATTTTGTTCTCCAAATGGAAAAGAACAGCCAATATTGGTAACAGAGAAAGTGATGGATGGAACTTCTTGTGGCCCTCAGGATGTAGATATATGTGCAAATGGAAGATGTCAGGTAAGTCTTCCAAAATTAATTATTATTGTTTAATTATTTTGAAGGGTTTTCTTCCTTAATTCTTTAGGTTATGGATGTCATCTTTAAACTTAAATTAACCTGCAATTTAAATTTAGGACACTGTAGAAGAAATGGATAAGAATGCTATATTTTTGTATATATGAAATGGAAAATTTGAAGGAGGCTTTGTAAAACCAATATTTTAGGGAAAAATTGATAGCATTTTTGATGGGAAAGAACATCTTTAAATGCTCTGGTTTTATTGTATTGTGAACAGTTGCTGGGGTGCATCCACAGTTTCGTTGTACTTATACAATGACAATAAAGTTCTTCTTATCTTTTTAATTCCGTTTATTGTCCAGATACCCCAAAATAGTTCAAAATAAGTTATCACAATTTATTGTTAGCAAATAATATATTTCTTATATTAATTATAGTCTAATTTGATGTGGCACTATCCTTTATCTTGGAGTGGACAATGTGCTATTCTTCCTTTTTTTACTTCAGAAATTTGGTTGTGATGGCATATTGGGTTCTTTGGCATGGGAAGATCACTGTGGTGTCTGCAATGGAAATGGAAAATCATGTAGAGTTGTTAAAGGAGATTTTAATCATACTCGAGGAGCAGGTAAACTTCTTTTAACATTTATTGATTAAAATTTGTAAATGCATTGAGTATTCTGTGGGCTATAAATTGTGTAGTAGTGTCCTATTTTTATGTTGTTTAGGATAAAGCACAGCATTTAGAACACATAAGAATAAGTATGTTATAAATGAAATTCCATATTTTTGAATACATTTTATCTGGGATTATTTTGTGTGCCTGAACAGTAAATATTGCTCTGGATTAGAATTTATCAACACTAGAATTTTAAATAAAAGACAGGAAAAAAATCATTTGCCCAAATAAACTTATTTTATTTATAGAAAGAATGAATTGATTTTTTAAAATATAAAATGAACAAAATAAAAATAAACACATGCAGTTGCATTAAAGAATCAATCCAATTCCACAGTTGACCAGTACAGGAATAAGAAAGGGAAGAAAGAGCCTAGAAAAGATGCTAGGAAACAGTGATCATATTACTCATCATATTACTTTAAAATCTTGCTCCTTTGTAAAAAAAAAAAGGCTAATTCAAATGTTAAAAATATATCAGTTGCATAACAAACTTCTTCTATTATTCTATGTAATTCTTGAGGGAAGGTATATATCTGTTGCATAATTACAGATGTAAACAAATGCAATTGTAGAAATAAAATAAATAGCAGCAGATTTTTTTTTAAAAAAGTGCCATCTGGAGTACATTGCATTCAGTAGTTTTGTTTGTTATTTTGGGTGGATGTTGGCACAGAAATGTGATTTATTGCACCTGAAGTCCACTAAATGTAATTGAGGTTTCATTTTAATTGGAAGCAGAAAATATCTTAATAACCAATAAATACATCAAATAATGAATGTTTCACATTGAAAATTAGATAAAATGGATGAAATTAAATGAAAATTAGATTCTCATTCTTTGGGTGTCTATGGGTCCTGTAAAGGAGGATAAAGAGTGCAAAAATATGAAATAGACGTCTGAAGTTTTATAACTTGAATCTGTGCTTAAAATTGGTGAAAAAACATAAATGCAACCTCACAGCAGCTGCACCAGCATTTAATGAAACATTAAAGTTTCCTTTTAATGATAAAATGAATGTCACAGTATCACACAATGAGCTCTGTCCCTTACATATGTGGATTCTATATTACAATTTAGATTTAAAAATGTGGTGATTGCATAACAGCATTATAATGCTTGTATCATAATTTTCCGCTCTGGACCCTCATGTAAGCCTTCTCATGCCTAAACTTGAAGAGTTTGGATATTGAAATTATTATATTATGTTTGTTGTATTATATTATATTATTATTACATTACATTATACTTCTGCCAAACTAGCAGTTTGAAAGTATGTAAAAATGCAAGTAGAAAAATAGGGACACTTTGGTGGGAAGGTAACACCATTCTGCGCGCGTGCCTTTGGCATTTAGTCATACCGGCCACATGACCACGGAAACATCTTTGGATAGCGCTGGCTCTTCAGCTTTCTAACAGAGATGAACAGCCCCCTAGAGCTGGAAACGACTAGCACGTATGTGCGAGGGGAACCTTTACCTTTACTTATATTATATTATTATAATATTATTATTTTAAGAGTTTAAATATTCTTAAAAAAAGGCAGAGGTAAAAAGAAATATTAAATAATTAATTAGTAATATTAATATATTTAAATTTAACAAATAAATAATAAATACATTTAAGGTTCCTATTCTTTATTTGTCCATCATGTAATATTTATAGAGATTGTTTTAACTTTTCAGAAATGCCAAGTAAGCTCCATTCCAGTACACATTTTCTAGCAAGCTTATATATTTGTACAAAAAAACCCTGAAAATACAGGCTTTTTTTGTATAGGTGAACTACTTATGAAATCATCCCTTGCCTCTGGAATAGTTTGATAAACATAACCATTTTCCTGTCAGTCAATAAATTAAATTTAAAGGACTATAAACTTAGTCTATATTCCATGTCTAGGTATACTGATATAAATCCTATTCATTTCTTTCTGAATTATGTATGGAAGCTTTCTGGAGTTTTAACCACAGTGCTTATCTGTGGTCTTAATGATTAAGTAGTATTTGTTTTTATTGCATCTGTATTGTTGCTGTGGTTTTTCTCTATAAAGAAGTGTTTGAATGAATGTCTAGCTTTGTTATGATCAGTTAACTGTAGATCACTGTGTTTGTGGATAGTACACATTCCTGTATATTTATTTTGGATATAGTTATTTAGAATTTGCCAAGTAATTTTGTTAGAGTTGGGAAGGAAATCTAGAAGTCCCATTTCCTTACCCTTTGCCACAATGGAGCAATGTAAACATGTTAAATTTACTTCTGATTTTCTTTATTAATCCAGGAATGTTGATCTGAATATTTTACCTGATACTATGGAATCAGCCCAAGTTAAAATTATAAAAATTGTGAATGAAATCATTGCTAGTAGTGAGTCTCTTTGAAATTAGCCGTTCACAATTGCAGAATAATCATTTAAATGGAATGCAATATAACATTTGGGATGCAAAAATTAATTCCATATTTCATATACAGCTATGAAAGTATGCAAGCAAAAATAATCTAAAATTAAGAAATGCAAAAAATAAGTATATAAATTTATCAGTATACTGTATTCATCAGTATCAGCAGATGATGCTATGTTGTTGCTGCTTCTTTGTTTTGAATTGTCTTTTGGCTGTAACAAAAAATGTTTGTACAGATTAACAGAAGTAACAGAGTTGGGAGTGACCTTAGAGGTCTTCTAGTCCAACCCCCGGCTCAGGCAGAAGACCCTATACAATTTTAGATAAGTGATTGACAATCTCTTGAGATTCCAAAATGTAGTGGAATACAAAGAAGAAGACCTGGAACAACTAATGGCGGGAATACTGGCTGGACTATTGGAAAAGGATAAAGATGACATCTTAAGGGAGTTTGATGAAGTTTACAGGATTAGCACTAATTATGCGAGACGCCACAAATGCCCAAGAGAAGTCCATATACGATTTGCGAGAAGGAGTGTCCGGGATATCACATATAGGATGTCAAGAGATGAAACAATCACGTATAAAAGTAAAGAAGTCTTGATTCTCAAACAAATACCAAGAAGAGTAAGAGAACAAAGACAAGACTACAAGTTCTTAGCAGCTTACCTAAATCAGAAAAGAATCATATTTAAATGGCTAATCCCAGAGGGATGTTAGTTTTTGGAACAAAAGGAAAATTAAAATAGACTCCATGGAAAAGGCCCAGGAATTTTATGAGCGATTGGTAGGTCCAGAAGACCAGAGAAGTAAGGAGGAACTGGAAACAAACTCCCAGGAAGATCAAGGCTATCATAAGAACAGAGATGGAACTTTAGGAAATCAAGGAAATACTCATCTACATCAGGAGAGAGGACACATCTTCAGGCACAAGGAGAGTAGGACACATCTTCAGGCACAAGGAGAGACCGGAGCCATTACAAGACAAAGAGTGAAACAGAATTAATTAAATGGAAGAAGAAAAGAAACTACTATCAATTAATATAAATGGTTTAAACTCGACGATAAAAAGGAAAAGGATAATAGCTAAACTAATCAAACAAAATGCTGATATAATATGCCTACAAGAAACTCATATAAAGAAAACAGATGAAAAATACCTAGAATGTCCGAAATTAGGGAAGCTATTTACCGCACCAGCAGACATGGGGAAAAAGAAAGGGATTGCAGTATATGTTAAAGAGGATTTGAAAGCAGATTTAATATAGTCGGATTCTGAGGGAAGAACTCTGGTTTTGCAGATCTGGATTAATGCCATCCCAATTCTCTTAGTGGTAATCTACACCCCGAACGGAGATCAAAAAGAGTTTTTTAAGCATCTTTATGGAAAAATAGTAGGATTTGAAAAAAGAAATATTTGTATCATAGGAGACTTTAATTCTATTGCTGATTATCAAAAAGACCATAGTAATGGGGGAAAGAGAGCTTCCCAAGATATGTATGGAAATGATGGAGTTAAATTTGATTGATATATGGAGAAGATTACATCCTGAAAAAAAAACAATTTACATTCTATTCAAATCCTCATCAAATATGGACATGAATTGATATGGCATGGATGAATGGGGAAATAGCAAATGAGATAAAGGGGATTGAAATTTTACCTAATGAATGGGCAGATCACAATCCAATTCAGATAATATGGAAGAGTAGGGGGAAACCCAAGAAAAGATGGACGTTAAATACTCAGTTAATAAGAGAAAAAGGATACACCAACAAACTCAAGAAGGAATTAAATTATTTCTTAAAGGAAAATGATAATGGAGCAACTACGAAACAAAACATTTGGAATACAATGAAGGCAGTAATAAGAGGTATAACAATTTCTTATAACGTCAAGAGGAATAAGGAAAAATACGCCCAGCAAAACAAATTACAACAAAAAATTAAGGAATTAGAAACTCAGTTACAGAGTACCCCAAAGGATTCAAAATTGCAAAATCAGATAATAATAACTAAACATAAATTGAATTGAACAAGAGAAAATGATTATAAATTTGAATACAACTAGACAAACTTATTTTGAGCATGCTAATAAGCCAGGGAGATGGCTATCATATAAACTAAAAAAGAAGAAAGAAAAGAGATTGATATACCAGCTAATAGATGGAAAGGGGGATATACAACAGGAGATAGAGCAGAAAAAAGAAATTGCCCATAAGTATTTTGAAGAGTTATATAAAAAGGAAGAAGTTAACAAAGATAGAATAAGAAACTATTTAGATGAAGTGAAGGATAAAGCAATTGGGGAAGAAATGGAAGAATTATTAAACAAAGACATTACTTGGTTTGAATTGAAATCAGCAATAGAGAACCAGAAAAACAATAAATCCCCAGGACCAGATGCGATTCCAGGGGAGCTGTACAAGGCAATAGCAGAACAAATAGGACCTCTTATGGTGGAAGGTTTTAATGACGTCTTATTGGCAGCCAGGATGCCGGACTCATGGAGAGGGGCATTGATTTCGCTGATCCCGAAGGAGGATTCGGATCCCCGATATATACATAATTATAGGCCGATTTCACTGTTAAATACTGATTACAAAATATTCACTTCTATTATAACAAGTAGACTAAAAAGAATGTTAAATGAGCATATATATGAAGATCAAAATGGATTTCTCCCGACCAGACAAATCAGGAACAACTTAAGAATAGTACTAGATGTCTTAGAATTTTACGAAGCCCACCCCAAATAACAAATTGCACTTATGTTTTTAGATGCAGAGAACGCCTTTGATAATTTAAATTGGCAATTTTTAATCCAAAAAATTTATAATATGAATTTAGGCACCAAATTTGAAAATATTATAACAACCATTTATGATACACAACAGGCTAATATTATATAAACGGGGAATATACCCGCCTAATAAAAATAGAAAAAGGAGTCAGACAGGGCTGCCTACTCTCACCCCTGCTCTTCATATTATCATTAGAAACATTACTAATGCGAATTAGACAGAACCCAGACATAAAAGGATTAAAGGTTAAGAAAGAAGAATATAAGTTGCAAGCGTTTGTGGATATGATTTTTTTCATTGAGGAACCAATAGAAAGACAAAAATTGATGAATGAATTAGAACAATTTGGAGCAGTAGCAGGACTTAAAATTAATGGGAAGAAAACAAAATTAATGACTAAAAATTTAACAGAAAAACAGAAAATAGAACTAGAAGAAATTATGGGAATACAAGTGATAAAGTTAAATACTTAGGAATATGGTTGTCAGCACATTGTAAGACACTTAAGGAAAATAATTATGATAAATTGATGCAACAGGTAAAGAAGGATTTAGAAACATGGGGCAAGCTGCAACTTTCATTATTAGGCAGGATTGCTGCTATTAAAATGGATATTCTTCCAAAATTCCTATATATATTTCAGACGATCCCAATCAAAGTACACAATTTTTTTTTGAAAAACTTAATAAAATAACTAAAATTTATCTGGCAAGGGAAAAAACCTAGAATAAATTTAAAGGCAATGCAGGATATGAAGAGCAGGGGAGGGCTGGCACTTCCAAATTGGGAGTTGTATTATAGTGCAGCCTCTTTAGTATGTTTGAAGGAATGGGTGAATTTAACCAATAAGAGAATATTATTCTTAGAAGGCCATGACTTGCAGAGGGGGTGGCATGCTTTTTTATGGGAAGTAGGGAAAACTAGCCAGAAATATTTTCACAGACACCTAATCAGAGACTCATTATTAACTAATTGGAAGAAAATACGGAAAAAACACTATTTAAAAATACCAATTTGGATTTCAACAATGGAGGCGATGATTCACCCAAATAATCTGGATATCACTAAAATGATTAAATATAAGGACCTATTGGATACACAAGGAAATTTGAAATCGCGGCAAGAACTTCAAGAGTGGGGACTAAAAATTGATCAGTGGGCATATCTTCAAATTCAGAGTAGATATAAACAGGACAAGAAAGAATTTGGAATTAACAATAAACTCCAGCAATTGGATAAAATTTTATTAGGATCAGGCAAAAAAAAATAACAAAATTTTATAATTATTTATTAGAAGTAGAATTAGAAGAAGAAATTGTAAAAGGGAATATGATAGCCTGGAGTAGGAATATAGGATGTAGCATCACCATAACAGAATGGGAAAAGGTCTGGGGTAAAAATAATAAAATTACAAAATCAGTAGCATACAAAGAAAACACCTATAAAATGTTTTATAGATGGCACCTTCCTCCTTCGAGATTAGCGAAGATGCACTCCAATATGAGTCCGAATTGCTGGAAATGCAAAAAAAAAGCGGGAACTTTTTTCCATATGTGGTGGTCCTGTACAGAAGCTCAAAAATATTGGCAGAAAATTAGAAATTGGCTGGAAGAAATGACAAGAGAACAGATCGAATTCAAACCAGAGTCCTTTCTGTTAGGGATCTTTGATAAACAAATATCAAAAAAAGTGAAATATATAATAATACACATTTTGACAGCGGCCAGATTGGCTTTTGCACAATGTTGGAAGCAGCCTCATGTTTCATCAGAGGAGATGATCATTCAAAAAATTTCAAGTTGTGCAGAAATGGACAAATTAACTTTGGCATTAAAAAATAAAGACACTTCAATATACTACAACAGCTGGAACTGCTGGTACAAATGGATAGACCAAAGATAGTCTTCACACTAAAAGGCAAAAGAGGATAGGATAAATCCATAGTAGTGATACACAGATATATGTAAGGATTAGGTGTGTGTATATGGCATAAAATAAGGATAAAAAAGAGGTCTTACAAACTGTTGAAGATGAGAATGTTTTTAATTGTTTTCTAATTTTTTCTTTCTATTTTCTTCTCCCTTCTTTTTCTCTCTTTCATTTATGTATGTGTTGTTTGTTTGTTTTAATTGTAAAATCAATAAAATTTATTTTAAAAAATAATAATAATGGGGATGGGTGGATAGAGATACAAGAAGTTGATACACAAAATCAAAAGCCTAGATCCCAGACATTTTAGCAGATATAAGTTTAAAGATTTTTGAACAGATGAAACCAATATACATTCAATATAAATATTCTAATTTAAATAAATAGTTAACAACATAAATGTTGGTATTTATACTCAGGTTATGTGGAAGCCTTAGTGATACCTGCAGGAGCAAGAAGAATCAAAGTTGTTGAAGAGAAGCCAGCTCATAGCTATTTGGGTAAGTTGCCATCAAATCAAACGGTGTTACTGTCAGGACAGAGGCAGTGGTGGTATTTGACCGGTTCGGCCCAGTTCTGGCGAGCTGGTAGGAGTGATGAGTAGTGGAGACCAAACCAGTTCTTTCCGCCGCTCTGCTGTTGAGCCCACCTGCCCGCCCGGGCTCCCATACTCACTTTTATCTGCTGAATTTTAGGCGCAGCTGCTTTGCATGGCACAGTACCCTGCGGCAGCTGCTGAAGCGACCGGGATTGTGCAGGCTTGCAGGAGGCAAGTTAGAATGCCTCTGCGCCTGCGCAAACACCTCTGCGCCTTTGCAAAGTACGCATTTGGCACACGCATGCACGCAACGTGTGTACACGCGGGCAAAGTGCGCCCACCAAGCCACACCCACCGAACCGGTGGCAACAATATTTGAATCCCACCACTGGACAGAGGGTCTGTCTAACCTGGATGAGACCAAAGCAATCAACATCTTCCTGTTTTAAACAGCACAATGGGAGCATTCTAATTCAGAATTTCAGAAAAAAAAAGTAATGTTGTTATTGATCAGATTAGAAATGACCAACTAGAATGCAGCAATTGTTTCATACACTTTTAGTATGTATTGTACAGCTTTTCTGCTGGTATATTTTGCTTATTGCCACACCAATGCTGTAGAATTAGTTAATAGAATATAAATTGTTTTGAACCCTTTTCTTGTAGCTGTAGCTAACTATAACCTATTTTGACTGCAGCTCCTAAAAGTTAAAGCAGTAAATTGGTCAATAAATTCAGTGAATGTTTAAGAACTAGCTGATTGGGGATTTTGCCAAGTGTTAGCACTTAGTTTGGCTGTTTTAGAATGATTGATTCATAAGTTGCAAAATTTACACATCCTTTCATGATTACAAAAACTGTAAATAGTTTTTGTAAAACACAGAAACAAAGAAGTCTCTGTGGGAATTGCTGTCTCTTATAATTTACCATAGAATCAACTGAATATTGAAAGAGAAAAAACTGGCAGAGTTTCTAAGCACTCACCAAAAGAAAAAAAAAGATAAAACTGAACAGCAACCAAAAGCTCATTTTGGAAAATATCCAGAATTATGATTTCTAATGTTTGTCAGATTCAACTGATACTGCTTTTGCCTTGTGGAAATATTTAAAAGAATCCAAGTTTGCCAAAGCAGTAGACTGAAAATTGAAAAGTAATATAAAACAGTTACACACATATTAGTCCAGGGGTTTATCCTGCTGGCTCAGGAATTCTGGATGTTGAAGTCCACAGGTCATAAAAGTTGCCATAATTGCCCATGCATGTATTAGTCACAATTTTGCAACTAATGTGCAAGGCTATAGGGCTGACTCTTCTTGAAGTGGATGGGAATTATCTATGAATATAAATACATGTCTAAAAATGGAATTGTATTATTTAACAACTTTGAAGAAGAATAAATCAATGTATCAAAGAATGAATCATTGTATGCAAAAGCCTAATTAGACAGCCATATCCGTAGAATAGATTTCTTTTCCCCTCGTCTACCACCGTCCAATGCTAAGTGATTTGGGAGTAAATTACGGAGTGAGAACTGAATACTAATTTGAGTGTGAGTCCCTGTTTAAATTTTTATACAACAAAAATTAGTTTTCCAACATGTCATTTTTTCCATCAATCAATATTGCAAATACCACTATAAATGTCTTAAATAAAAATGAATAAAACTTGATATGTCATACTTGACATGTCAGAATTGGTTATAGTGAGACATGCTTATGTTACTTTTTAAATTGAAGGCCTTCCTTGAAACCTTTGGCCTAGAATACAATCAGCATTGGGAACTACAACACAGAAAAGGAGTTCCCATGCTACCAAATCTTATAGTGTAGTACTTTACAAATTTGTGTGTTTGTGTGTGCATGAATGTATCTTGAGTGAACTAAAATTCTCAATATGCTATAAAATGTATAAAGTATTGCTGCTGGATTGGGTGAGTGTGTCACAGATAAGATCAGGGGTGTTATTTTATTTTTTTAGAAAAAACCTCTTTTTACATAATGTTTAATTATCTTTTGATGATATACAAAACATTTCAGAAGAGAAGAACAAAATTCCTGTTTAAATGTAGAGTTCTTTTCCTCTTTGCAAATGAAATGCATTTTTTAAAACTCATCTTTCTCCAGAGCATATTTAATTAAGTTTTTACAAGCTGAAGGGTCCAGGAGAGCTTCAAAACATACTGCACATTTTCCTGAAATGAAATAGTTTGCATGCATGTTGCATCTGTACATATCATAAGAGGAGACCTGAAAGATTATATCAGTTCACATCTGTATCTGTTTATGTGAAGATAGTATTGGCTTGTTTACTAAGTGGAAATACGAGAAGGACAATGACAGGAATGGAAGCGTTGCCCCACTTAGAAGTATAAGGAGAGAAATGGATATGCCATATATGAAGAATATGCCATATAAAAAAGAGAAGAGAACAGTTACAGCAATTAAATGTATAAGCTCAATTCTAGCACATGGATAGAATCTGCAGTATTCACACAGTATTGCCAAAACTTCATGACATATCACAGAGGTGTCAACAGTAGCCAAATTATTTTTTCTCATATAATATATAATTTTAATATATATAATATCATATAATATGTCTGGAATTTTCCAAATACATTTTCCTACAGTTATTTTGCCTGTATTTTTATACTCTAAATTACTTGCCACATAAAGCTGGTAATTCCTCTTAATTAATTACTATTTTCCTTTTCTCACCCATATTTAATTGATTGCTTTGCCTAGAAGGCTGGTTGCATTTTCTAGTTTTATTTTGTTATCTGTGGGAAGATGTACCACTCTTTGGCTCCTTCCAACCAAAAGACACGTACATGGATTTTTTGTTTAGATTCATAACATTGATAAATTTTATATCCATGCAATATCAGCTAGTTGAACTGAGTATTAACTATTCTGAGTATTAATTGGCTATCAAACTTGGGCCATGTCGTGCAAGCTGACTCACTCAAAAGGTCAGTCATACTGGGAGGAATATATGCTTGTGTGTTGTCTGTCTGTGTGTGTGAGAGAGGGAGGGAGGGAGGAGGGAGAGAAAGAGAAAAGTAGGGAGGGAGGGAGGAGGAAAGGAAGGCAGTTCAAGTGAGTAAATAGAAAGCAGATATTTGAACCTCATCCCAACAGTCTAAACCAGCATGATCAATAGTAAGATTATGGGATTTCTAATTCTAGAAAATTTGGAACCAATGTTCTTATCCCAGTTCTATTATTTCCATCAATATGATTTTTAAGGCATAAGAACTATTGTATATCATATTTAAAGTACCATAATTTACATATATATTCTATCACTGTGTTTTAAAATAAATAATTTTCAATTAATAATTTGTAGAATCCATATTATAGTGGTGGGCTAATTATTATAGGCTTTTCATATACTGAAATCTGTAATGAATGTTGAGAGAATTCTGAAAGCCCACATAACTTTTGTAATTCAGTGAAGTATTGCTGTTTTCTTATTGGAATTTTATTATTATGTTTATCAACCTTCAATTGTTTTAATATTTTGGTTCACTGGCTCTTTTAGCATAATAATAAATTAGAAAGACATGAATCACTTTCTTTTGTATTGCTTTCTAATGTATCCTCAGCACTTCGAGATGCCAGCAAACAGTCTATTAATAGTGATTGGAAGATAGAACATTCTGGAACATTCAACATTGCTGGTACCACTGTCCATTATGTTAGGAGAGGTCTGTGGGAAAAAATTTCTGCCAAAGGTCCAACTACATCACCTTTACATTTATTGGTATAGTAGCATAGATAATTTATTTAAATATATTCTACGCTATGAGGTTTATGTCTAAATGTATGTATTGTTTTGCAATCAGTATGGTAACCAACTTAGAATAACATAAGAACACAAAACAAGTTATGCCAGATCAGACAATAGATTCATTTAGTCTAACACATTATTGGTTCATATCAAGAAAGTGGCTAGCCATTTCCTAATGGGAATACACAACATAACATGATCCCACTCATACCAGTATCAGAAAGCCTACATTCTCCAGGACTGGAGATAGGATTTGGCATTATGATAAGCATCTTTTCTATGAAAAGTATCTCATTGATTACAAGAATGTATGTATTCTAAAAAATATATAGGAGAAAAGGAGATGTATGCATTATCTGAACAATATGCTAATGATAAATTAAACTGTGCTTAAAATTATTAAAATAGTGGATCTTTAATTTCTCCATAATCTCAAATTGCTCAAACTCTAGAAATGCTAATTCTGATTACTATTTAGGATGTATGGGAAAGTTCTACCTGTTGTGTTCAGAGCATGAATATGTGAAAGTGCAGAACATCAAATTCTTAATTCATTTCACTGGAAAGAACCAATCTATACAAATAAGCTTCTATAAGTAAATGCAATTCAACACACCCAGAAACTTTTATATTTGTACATCTGTGTACATACATGAAGTACATTGAATAATCATGAATAGGATGATGGAGACAACATGAATAGACTAATTGTAGACCTTAGATCTAGAATTGTAGATCAAGGCAGGTGATCCTTGATTTACAACCAAAATTAGCCCAAAATTTTCATTGCTAAGCAAGACAGTGTGTTAGGTGAGTTTTTGGCCCATTTTACGACTGTATTTACCATAGTTAAGTGAATCACTGCAGTTATTAAATTAGTAAAATAGTTGTTAAGTGAATCTGGCTTCCCCATTAACGTTGCTTGTCAGAAGGTCGCAAAAGGTGATCACATGACTGGACATTGCAACTGTCATAAATCTAAGTCAGTTACTTGCCAAGCATCCAAATTTTTATCATGTTACCACCGTGATGCTGCAACAGTTGTGTGAATAGTGGTCATAAGTCATTTGTAACTTCAAACACTCACTAAACGAATGGTTGTAAGTCAAGGATTACAATATTTGTACCAGAATTCCTAGCAAACACAATTGTTTGATGGCTGGCAGAATTTTCAGGGTATGTTGACAGATTTTTCTTTCCTTCCTTCCTTCCTTTCTTCCTTCCTTCCTCCCTTCCTTCCTTCCTTCCTTCCTTCCTACCTACCTACCTACCTACCTACCTACCTACCTACATGAGATAGTTTTAATTCCGAATGCTGGGCATTTAATTTTATGGAATTTCTTTATGATTTTCTATAGACTGATGTTACTTTTTTTTTACTATGTCTGCTTTTTTGTCTTATCTGGACATATAATATTAATTACATATATGTTACAGGTCCTGCTTTTTCAAGATCAGAATTATGGGCTACATTATGAATATACTATTCCTTTAGATCCAGTTACCGAGAATCAGAGCACAAAAGTATCAGAACCTCTATTTATGTGGACCCACTCAGGTTGGAAAGACTGTAATGCTGTATGTGGAGGAGGTAATGATTATACATTTGTGGGTATAGGAACATAAGTATTGGTGTAATACTTGAAAGATTTGATGCTGCTTCCACTATATTAATTTTGTCAATAGGGCTACTAAGTCAGTCCAATTGCAGTGAACAAGCAGAATTGTTCAGAATATTTATATAAGAGGGCTAAGGCACAAAGATCAATACCTTTAACATAGAGAAAGCTAAACTTGTTTTGTTTTGTTTGTCCTAGTAAACTTCCAGCAAAATGAAAAGGGATTCCAATTGTCCCTTTAACTATATGTTTAAAAATGTTTATTCACATACAACATGAAATGTCCAGAGGTGGTATTCAACCGGTTCGCACCTATTCGGGCGAACTGGTAGAGGTTCTTTGGCATGGGTCGCCGAACCGGTGGCGACCCCTGGCTGGCCACACCCCCGACTCAGTCGCCTGGTCGCTCACTTGCCCCAATCGCTCTCCTAACTTTCCGTTCCCCACATCCTCTTTCTCCCCAGGGGAAAGGAAGAAAGGCATGGATGCTGCAAGTATCGCTTTCTCCTTGTGAGATAAAAGTGCCTGGAATGAGAGGAGTGTAGGCTGACAGAGGGGGTGAAAGTGAATCCAGCCTTGGAGCACTTTTGTAATGTAAAAGAAATGCATTTTGAAGCAGGTCCTTTAAACTTCTCCAAGGATTCCCCATGGACGCTGCAAGTATCACTTTCCCCATGTGAGTTAAAGTGCCTGGAGTGAGAAGGAGTGTGGTCTGACAGATTTCTGACAAATTTCTCCAGCCTTGGAGAAATTTAAAGGAGCTGCTTCAAAATGCATGTCTGTTAAGCTACAGAAGTGCTGTGTGTGTGTTTGAGAGAGAGACAGAGAAAGAAAGAAAGAAAGAAAGAAAGAAAGAAAGAAAGAAAGAAAGAAAGAAAGAAAGAAAGAAAGAAAGAAAGAAAGAAAGAAAGAGAAAAGAAAGAAAGAAAGAAAGAAAGAAAGAAAGAAAGAAAGAAAAAGAAAGAAAGAAAGAAAGAAAAAGAAAGAAAGAAAGAAAGAAAGAAAGAAAGAAAGAAAGAAAGAAAGAAAGAGGAAAAAGAAGGGAGAGAAAGAAATAAAAAATAGGAAGAGAGAGAGAGAGAGAGAGAAAACTCTGTGCTATTATTTTTAATTGTTCTATTATTTATCATGTATAAATATTTTACACTGTCCCTACACATAGAGTGATTTTTCTGCCTTTATTTTGCCCAGGGCTACCACATATTTTTCAAGGTTTACATGCATTCAATGTCAATAGTCCAGAGCATAAAATACACATGTGTTTAACAAGGGTTGAAAGAGACTTTGGAGGTCTTCTAGTCCAACCCCCAGCTCAGGCAAGAAAACTGAGGATGCCAAACTCTGAGTAGAGATCCTGGGAAAGGTGTCAGAATAACAGAATAACACTTAGAAGGGATCTTGGAGTGAACCCTATACCATTTCAGAGAAATGGCTGTCCAGTCTTTTCTTAAAAACTTCCAGTGATTGAGCACCCAGAACTTCTGGAGACAAGCAGTTCCACTGGTTAATTGTTCTCACTGTCAAGAAGTTTCTCCTTAGTTTTAGGTTGCTTCTCTCTTTGTTCAGTTTCTGCCCATTGCTTCTTGTTTGCCTTCTGGTGCTTTGGAAAATACATTCCCCCCCTTCTTTCTGGCAGCCACTTAAAAGCCTGTTGCCTATCACACTCTTGGGCAAAGCATGTAAGCCATTTCCTCCTTTCAGTGGTCCATGAAAGTACATTTGTAGTATGTACATCATAAAGTCAAAAAAAGGTGAACAATATTTTTACAGAACTATAGATAACTTGAGTCTGGGTGACAAGGGATAGCTGGGAGGGGAGGGGCCAGGTGAGGCATCCCTTGATGTGAGTGAAATTGAGTTGGCCACGCCCACCCAGTCACATGACCATTAAGCACACCCACACAATCACATGACCAAGCCACACCCACACAGTCACGTGACTACCAAGCCACGCCCACCAAATAAGCCACGCCCACAGAACCGGTAGTAAAAAAAATTGAATCCCATCACTGGAAATGTCTTTGTTTGATACGACAAGGAGTAAAAAATATCCACTTCCTTTCCAGGTAATATCAGCTGATCACAATGATTCTGTTTTGGTGTGATCACAATGCTGTGAAGTTGTCTTTTTATAATTATTTTGATTTTTTCAATACAGTGTAACTGCTATCAATCATTTTGGCAAACTACTATTTTGAGATCTGTCAGAACATTTTAAAATTTCCATTGCTGCATTGAATGTGGAATTCTGGAATTTGTCTAGGTGTTTATGATATGTACAATATGAACCTTAACAATTTCTTCAATAAACTATTTTTCATTGTTGCACAGACAAATATTTAGCAAAAGTGTTCATTTAGGTTTATAATTTTGACTAACATAAAACTTGCTTTTGTTCCTGTTTAGAAAACCATTTTTTTTATTTCTAGGTTTGTTTATTTTTGCAAAGTTTTAATGTAATATTTTTAAAAATAGCTTAAAAGTTATATACAAAAATATGAAATTCTTAGTAATTCATCAATTTCAGGATGGAATTTTATGTTTATCCCCAAGTGAAAATAAGATAGTGAAAAGCATTAGAGTTTTTTCCAAGTATAAATGGCTATCTTATTTATTAATATTTCAATAGTTTTGAATAACTTTATTCAATGATAAAACGTCATTGAAGCTCTGCAAACTTTGTTTTCTTTTTTACCAGGTGAAAGAAAGACAACAGTATCTTGCACAAAAATTATGAATAAGCACATTAGTTTTGTGGATAACAAGAAATGCAAGCATTTAACAAAACCTGAACCACAAATTCGAAAGTGCAATGAGCAGCCATGCCATACGAGGTGAGGTGGAGACCCAAAATGAAGATTTATGCAATGGACACTGAGATGGAATGAGAGGCTGTCCCTTGAGAAGTAACTCATAGTTCTGGGATATTCTCTTTGACATTGAATGGATGATGGATGCCTTGGTCTAGTTTAGTTTACTTTATTGTCATTGCACCTTGTACAACAAAATCAAACACCATCTTTAGTGCACATCATGACCATGAAAATAAACACAAACACACATCCTTCACACTCCACACATTGAATCAAAGACACCGCACCAACAACTGCACTATACAGTAGAATTCAAAAGAGCTACTGCCCTGGGATAGAAGCTGTTTTTCAGCCTATTTGTCTTTGTTTTATTATTCTGTACCATCTGCCAGATGTTAATAGTTCAAAAAAAGGATTCCCAGGATGAGATGGATCTTTGAGAATGTTCTGAACTTTCTTAAGGCAGCGGGAGCTATAAAGCTCTTCCAAAGAGGGGAGAGGGCAACCAATAATCTTTTGGGCAATGACATTAACCCTCTGGAGTGCTTTCCTATCTGCCACTGTGCAATTGGAAAACCATACAAAGGTGCAGTAAGTTAAGATGCTCTCTATGATGCAGCAGTAGAAGGTCTAAAGAATTAAGCAAGAAAGCGAAAATGGGGAGAGGCTACTTGTGACATGTGAATTTCCAACCATAATTATCAGATCTTAACTATTAATCTTTCTGTAATTTTATGAAACAAAAAAGTATCATTTACTTCGATCAATATTTTCTGTCTAGTTATGTATATTAGAACTTAAAGAATGATCTGATTTCTAAAAGGATGCAGCTAATCAGTTAAAGTATATAGCAACTTAGACTTATATACTGCTTTATAGTGCTTTACAGCCCTCTCTAAGCAGTTTTACAGAGTCTGCATATTGCCTCAACAATCTGGGTCCTCATTTTACCCACCTCAGAAGGATGGAAGGCTGAGTCAATATTGAGCCTGCTGGGATTTGAATTGCAGGCAGTCGATAGTCAGCAGAAGTGGCCTGCAGTACAGCACTCTAACTACTGCACCACTGAGGCTCTTATTTATAATAGCAATAATTAACAAAATAGATACATTAAGATTTTTAGAACAATTAGTTTCAACTTTCAACTTCTCCACTGTTTTAACAAAAGAAAAAAATAATGTAGATTGTGAGAAATATAATTAGATAATTCAAATTATCTGTATAAGGAGAACAAAAAGACTAATAGTAATCAGTGATGGTTAACATAATACTAAATTGGAGCCATTACTAGAGATAATGCTTGCATGTTTATACTGAATAACTTTGAAGATTTTGGAAAAGTTAATAAATAACAAATAATTAAACAGAATGCTAGGGATGGTGCTAAGTTAACATAATAGAAATAGAAACCTGTATTCCACATATCAAATCAAATAGCAGATAAAAGTATTTTTAGGTGCACAAATAGGCAAGGAGGAGATTAAATATCATATTCTTGTCTTCTTGTCCTGTTTCTCCCATAATTTTTATTTGATACCAGAATTTCACTTCTTCCATTGTAGAACATACTTGCTTCTTTCCACTGATATAAACTGCTAGTTTTAAGAAAGTCTGTGTAAAAGCAATACATATTACTTTAGCTTTCTTTCCTATTCCATGTATACATAAGATTTTAATTTAAAAATAGAACCCATCTGGATAAGATATTAAATTTAAATTTTTATTTCACTTTTTTAATGAACATAGCCAGAGAGATTTATCATATTAAAGTGGGAAATTTTAACTCTATTTCCAGCCATCTTCCTGAAAAATTCTCACTTTGAGAATTGGCATTTCCATCCATAGACACCTCCATTGGCACTAATAGATTATTTCCTAATAATGAAAATATCAGCTTCAAAGGAAAGAATTCAGAAGGAAGGGGGGAAGCTAACTTTTACATTTTCTCCTGATACTATTTGCATTTTTAAAGTATTGCTTAAATGCAGACATGCCTCCTTTCGTGACACATATAATTTCTGGTAGAGTTTAAACTACTGAAATTCTCACAGATTTTATTAATGTTTCCCTCAAGGTTGGTTTGGGATTTTTTTAGACTTAAAGTGCACTTTTATAATAATGAAAATAAATCATTTCTCCAACATATGAAATATCCCTATACTTTGGCTCCAGTTTGACAGAAACAGTATTGTATAAAACAGGGGTCTCCAACCTTGGCCACTTTAAGCCTGGAGGACTTCAACTCCCAGAATTCCCCAGACAGCTTTGCTGGCTGGGGAATTCTGGGAGTTGAAGTCCTCCAGGCTTAAAGTGGCCAAGGTTGGAGACCCCTGGTATAAAACATTCAGCACCAAGTAATCATACAAATAATACTGTCATTTCACAGGTTAAAGGACTGCTATGTTAGTGGTGCTCAACAAGTATTTACAAAAATTGAATAACCAAGTTCAAGTAGAACGCATTTTAAAATCAAGCAGAATGAGAAAATATTTTGAAGATTATTTTGGCTTGAAAAATCTGGCAAAATGCCAATTCGTGATTTCTCTTCTCCCCCCCCCCCCCTTTCCTTTAGGTGGATGATGACTGAGTGGACTTCATGCTCAAGGACATGTGGGAAAGGGACGCAGAATAGGCAGGTCGCCTGTACTCAGCAACTGAGAAATGGAACCCTGATCAGAGCCCGAGAGAGAGACTGTCTTGGCCCTAAGCCCACTTCAACACAGCGCTGTGAAGGCCAGGACTGCATGACGGTGTGGGAAGCTGGCGTGTGGTCAGAGGTGCAGTATATAAGCATGGATTGTTTATTTACTTATGGTTTTCCTAAGCTATCGTTCAATAATTATAAGACAGTTGTTATGAACTTAGAAATCATTTATTTCTGTTGGAATGAAACAATATTCTGTACCAAGTGAAAGTATTGTTGTGGTTCGCCGGCAGCCAGTGCAGACGGCGGCAGAGTCAGACAGTGAGGAAGAAAGGAGACCAGTCAGGGAGTCTGGAGAGGACTTGGACGAGGGTTCTGCATCTGATGCAGGGATGGGGCCAGGACCATCTAGGAGTAGGGTGCTGCCTTCGGAGCCTTCAGAGTCTGGCAGCAGTGAAGCAGAGGACCCAGGGGAGGCTATTCCCAGTGTGCATGTGCACAGAGCTGCTAGAAGGCAAGAGCAGCTGAAGCAGAAGGGGCAACTTGGGAGTAAGGCTGGGAGGTGATGGCCCCTCCCATAAGGGATAAAAGTCAGACCTCAATGACTAAAGCTTTGCAGGAAGCAAAGCAGTTCAATTAGATTCCGAATCCTCCTTGAAGCTCTGTGTATTTTGGTCCATTTTTTCTGGTACATTGGGTGGTTTCAGGGGTGGGTTTCTACCGGTTCTGTCCACCTCTATAGAATTGGTAGCTTTGAAGAGCAGCAGACATAGAACCGGTTCTATGTCTGCTGATGTTTTTGCCCACCCACCCCCTTGGGCTCTTACCTGACCTTTATTTCCTGATTTTTCAACTTCAGCTGCCAATCGAGGCACAGCTGCAGTTAAAAAAGCAGGAAAAGAGGGCTGTTTCAAAGGCTGCTTCTCAGCAGCAGCGTGCTAATGATGATTAACAGGCATGCTCACAGCGGGCAGGGAAGCTTGTAAATCCCAAACCGGTAGTTAACCCTGTCGTATCCCGCCTCTGGGTGGTTTCTGTAATAATTAATTTGGATACTTCTGTTTTTGGCAGCATTCCACAGCACTGATGGCCTGTGCTTATCTTGGGGAACTGTTTATATTTAGTTCTGGCTGGGAATGCAATTATGAAAGTAATTCCCAGCGTTGCAGTAAAATAGGTTTTGCTTTTAAAATAACTTTGTGTTTAAGTACGTTTGATGAAGCCTGGGTCAGAACAAGTATAACAAAATACTTCAAATGTCAGGGCAAGCATAAAAAGCTCCATGTGGTGATGAAAAAGATTCATTGTCTGCTTCAGCTATGCATTCTTCAAAAGGGCATCCCCTACTCCAGTGGTGGCTAACCGTTTTGTGCTCCTGACATACTCACTGGTTCACATATTTATTTATCTGCTTTATTTAAGTGCCCAAAACCAGCCATTGTCTAAGTCACTTACAAAAATTAAATGCTAAAAACAAGATAGAAATCAGAGCTGTGTATCAGCAGTGTAATGCTGGTTTGGGGTGATATATGTGAAAATTATGGGAGCTGGAGTTCCAACATGTTGGAGATGCTGATGTAAGCACTGGATCGTGTTTCTGTCTTCCTACAGTGCTCTATAAAATGTGGCAAAGGCATACGGCATCGGACCGTAAGGTGCACCAACCCTCGGAAGAAATGTGTTTTGTCCACAAGACCCAGAGAATCAGAAGATTGTGAAGATTATTCCAAGTGTTACATCTGGAGAATGGGAGATTGGTCAAAGGTACAATATGTTTTATGAAATTGTCAGTACTAGACTTTGCCAAATATTGTGCAATCAATTTTTAGTGGAGAAAGCCTGAATAATGAAAAATGAGAAAAAAAACATAAGATTATAATACTGATGTATTCTATTTTGGCCATGGAAACAATTTAAAATGTACTCTATATACTAGAGTGATGAATGTTCTTCAGTAGAGATGTTTGAAAACATGGAAGAATTTTTAAATTAGCTTTTTTTAAATAGTTAAATGAGCTGCGTCTTTTTCTAACCTTGTGTAGCTGCTTCAGGGACCCAACATGCGAAGCACATTTTCCAAAGGATTTGCATAGGCCTACAATAGATTGATGTTTTACTATTTGCTCTTGATGTCAACTTTCTGTTTAACTCACCATTGTGTTTTTCAACTCATTTGTTGCCAGTTTGTTTGTTCATACCTTTTTACTGTTAGAGTTCTGCTTGAAAACTTGTTAGTATAGATACAAAATTTCCTTGTGTGTCTGTGATTTCAATTGACCAGGTCAGGACAATCATAGAATCACAATTAAGAATTAGAAAAGATATTGAGTGGTCCTTTTAAAAATACCTACCCAAATAGGTTCCTGATCCATTAATACATTCGTGTGCTTAAAAATTCAGTGTGGCAAAACATTACAGGGAATGATTTTTTATGTTGCCAGAATTTGGAGAAAAAAATTACTAAAGAAATAAGTTAAACTTTGTGTGTTCAGATGGGGAAACAACAAACTCTTAGAACATAAAACAATATGAGTCTTACATACTCAAAATATGTGGTGGAATCATGGAGAATCTATAAAGCAGGGGTGTCAAACTCAGGGTGCTTAGATCTGGCTCGCGGGACCACCCTGGAAACAGCAGAGGATTGGCCCAAGGTGGCTCTGCCAGAGATAATGGAGCTTGCAGCCCTCCCGAGCTCCATTGTGACTAGCGGATGGTTGCAGGAGGCTGTCCCAGCCAAAAATGGAGCTGAGGAGCCCATTTTCTCTGGCAGAGAACTCGGGTTTCCACAGGCACCCCTAGCACAAGTGACATGAAGCTGGCCACGGCCACCGCCATGGCCATCCCAGGCCCCTGAGGTTAAACACAACCCTGATGCGGCCCTCAATGAAATCAAGTTTGACACCCCTGCTTTAAAGCAATTCTAAGTGGCACAAGACTACAAACTGTACTCCCTGTTCTCTGTCACTGCTGACAGAAAATTTACCAGTCCCTATGATTTTAATTGAGTAGAATGACAATTATTATTAGCTCTTCTCTGAGATCTAATTGTTAATTCTTTAAGATACAGATACCTTCTTCAGCTGCCACAATTGGGACTAGCAACTAGGTCATTAAGTAAATCTGTGGCTAAATGAAACCACATCTGTGTTTATGATCTTATTTCACTGCTTTACAAACCTGTGAAGGTGGCAAATGCAGGGATTGATCTCAAAGTTACTTTTTCATCGCTGTTAAATGATGGTTAAATGAGGCAGTCACTAAATGAGGACTACTTGTATGGCACAGGCATATAACTCAACCTCAAGTTCATTTCACAGCACATTGCAAAACACAAAAAGAAAACAACCACGGTCGTTTTATTGTTAAGTTCTAAAAAAAAAAAAAAATTGCAGTTGTTCTGGACACAATTGCAAAAGATTTTAAAAAGGTAATTTCAGCACTGCTCTTGCTATCCCGGAATATTAGAAAATGGTTTCTAGATTCAAAGCCCTCGAATAGGCTCCAAATATCCAAAGGTCATTTTGGAACAGCATTTATATTTAGTAATATTTTATAGCTGTATAAGTACATCTGGTTCTATAATAGGTTTCAAGTCCTGGTTTGTATCCCAGGCTCTCTAAAGGCTAGCCAATATTGCATGTATTTCATTTTAAAAAGTATTCTGTGATTTTTTTAAAAAAAGACAATGACTGAAGGTAGTAATTGTATTCTGGCATAATGATCTAAGTGGAAATCATTGTATGTAATTAGTGTAGACTTGTTTCCAGTCTTACAGAAAATCTTATTAATAAATGCTGTTCATGTCAATTGGGAAACAAGTATAAAAGCAGCTTCTTCCATATAAAAATTAGATTTTCATTATTGCCTCAGATGTATTTATTTTCCTTTTGCAAAATAAATATTAAATTATATGTAGAATAGTATTTCTTACTTTGAAAAATGAAAAAAGTTTTAGTTAAATTTCCAAGTTGTGGACTTGAAAATTTAAATGCTTATCAAAAGCCCTTCTACAAAATTGGGAAAACGATGATTCAGAAAGAGCATGTGGCGTACACTAGGTGAGAGTGAGGATTGTTAGTTTCCTGTTGGAAGAAAGAAACAGTGTTAACAATTCATATGTATTATGCATTCATGTAATGTAGAAAAACCCTTCTCCCTAGTGAATAATATCCTGAATATCCTGCTTAGTAAGTTTTAGAAGCCTGAACAAACTAAATGTGCTTTTAAAATCTCTTCGGCAGTATAAAGCAGGTTCTTTTTTTTGTTTATGTTTAAGACATATCAATAATATAAAACTTTTAAGGTTCTGATCTAGAGGTGGAGCTTTCACCTCACAATCAGGAGGCTGTGAGTTCGATCCTAGGTAGAGGCAGCTATTTCTCTCTCGACACGATGGGAATATATCTGCCGAATATAACTCTGCATTGGCAACAGGAAGGGCATCCGGCCAGTAATAATTCAGCTCCATTCAGTTGCCCAGACTCCATCCCGCAAGGGATTATGGGGTCATTAAAAGGTGATAGAGTAACCCTGGTTGAACCATATTCCAGTTCAGATAAGGTAACCTTGTCTATATAATTTTTATTTGCTAATCAAGAGCAGTTAAAAGCAGTTCATATTATGAGGTACATAGCTTTTACGTGTGACAGTATTCTGATGACAAAACTGAATTTGAAATAATTTAATGAAATCACATTGTGATACCTACTTTAAATGTACTTTAAAGAAAGCTATGTTTAGGCACAAGATAAATTTACGCATTATAAAAATGTTCTTCTTTATACCAAATTCTTGGCAACTCTTCTTGCAATTGACACCAACTTAAAAGGTTTGATATTTACCAGAAAATTGATGAAAAGCCACACAGAAGTCTCCTGAGGATTCTGTATATACAAAACCTGCAGATTGCCACTATATTGTATGGACTAGAGTGGCTGACAGTAGTTCTACAGTTCTTCATAAAAGAATTGAAATTAGTCTGTTTGTGTAATTGATTATTTTATATCTGGATCATATGGTATTATGCATATGATTGTACTGTCGAGTTGACACCATAATCTCTAAATTCATACTGGATTTAGTAAGATTTTGTCCCATTAAATCTTGCTTTCCCAACATTCAGTTGTTCTTTAAATCTTTAAGGGTAGGATCAGTCCTTCTTCCTTGATAGCAAATAAGATTTTGGCACTGAAAAAATTATTTTGATATTGAAGTTACTTACAACTGAGCAAATAAATGCCAACTGCAATTCTGTGGGTGCTCTTCCAGAATCTGTACTTCTGTCACCAAAGAAAAAAGTGAATTGATATGCCATTTTTTTATGTACACCTTTGCAAAAAATTGTGTTTGAGGAAATACTCCATGACTTCCAAAGAGATAAAATAGGATCATTCCTTTCTTGAATTGTTAAACCATAACTTCAATTTAGATGTTCAACATTCCACTTTATTCTTACTTATTCCATCCATGATAGAATAGCAACCAAGATACTGTGCCAAATGTAATAGAGATCATATTATTTTTCTGATTTTTTTTCAATCTGTTCTTAAGAATTTACTTACTTTCTTTATACTCAGGTTGACGTAGATTTAGTTTTGGGGGCAAAAAAAAAAGGCATTTTTGATTATGTGCGTGTCTCATATTCTTTAAAGTGTTCTATCACCTGTGGAAAAGGAATGCAATCACGAGTCATCCAGTGCATGCACAAGATCACAGGGAGGCATGGCAGTGAATGTTTCTCCTCTGAAAAGCCTGCAGCCTACAGACCTTGCCACCTGCAGCCCTGCAATGAAAAAATTAATGTGAACACAATTACATCACCTAGATTGGGTAAGTGACTACGAATGTCATATGAAAATGACTATTCTGGTCTATTCCTGCCATTTTCAACTTATGTTCATCCGGCTCTTAAGATCAACATTCTAGATTCTTTTTACCTCAAATGTGAAAGCAACATAAAGTCTATATCGCAGATAACCCATCTGACTATATTGATCTACAATATAGTTTCTCTGTCATAAATCTACTATATGTGAACTATTTGAAAATTATAAATGTACCATATACTAAATCATCCTTATAACAGTCTAGATTTAAGGGGCTCCTGCATTGCTGTCTCCCTAGTCCTGTAGGGATAGGTGATAGGTACTTTTGGATTCAGAAGCAAAACCACATACAGTAAGTATGAGTACCTAAGGCTTATTTCAGGGCAGTATGAGAAAACAAGAGCATAAGACAGCAATAAAAATATTCAAGAATAGTAAAGACTATAACATGAGAATATCCCAAAGTTAAGGAATATTTATTTATACCAGGTGGCAATTAGACTGTAATGAGGTTTTTAGTTGAAAATAAGAACTATTCATCATACGCTATACATATGTCTCATGCAAAAGACAAGATAAAAGAGAGTATAACCTTTTTACTGACTAACATAAATCCTTGCTTAATTTTGTATTACATGCTCAACAATTACACGGAAATGTAATTTCTCTGTACTATGCACCTAAGGGAAAGAAATATATACCACTATGCAATTCTTCTTTGCCAATCTTATGGTGAAACCACTATCATTACGGTTCCTTAGATGGTGGATAATATACAAAAATTCTAAAAGACAATTCTCAAGAATGGACATTTGTTTATTGCAGCAAAGTCAGGGGTGGGATTTCACCGGTATAACAACCGGTGCAGTGATTGTGCACCATGCTCCGCATTTTTAAAAAGCCCATACTTACCTTCAACTGCAGCCTCTGTGACTCAAACAGCTGAGGAGAGGCAAACTGCTGTGCCACACGAATCAGCTGTGCTCTAAACAAAGGGGGGGAAAGCACAGGAAAGAACAAGGACAGGCGGGCGGGCCCACATGCTCGTTGCAGCAAACTGGTTTGGAGCCAGCTGATCATTGGAACAAGGGATTCGCCCGAACCAGTCCGAACCGGTAAAATCCCACCCCTGTGTTAAGTGATACTGAACCCTAATAATTTGCTTAGAAATTTAGCCTTTGTTTCTACATTTTGAAAAATGTTTTTTTTATATTTTAGCTGTATTTCATTCTTAGCTTGTTGTTTCATAACATGTTATCCAGTACATTTAAAAACTTTAAATATGTGGCCTGTTTTTGTCCAGCTTGTAGGAGCTACATTTTTTCTCTTGGGAACGAACTTACATGCTATGAAATGAAGCAATAATTTCCAAACCCAATTCTGAGACCAGACAATAAAAAAATAGCTACAACCTAATGTTGTTTTTAGAACTGCGCCCACCTTCCCAGAAAAACAAGGGAGCTAAAACATCAGAGAGAAGGATGTTATGGATACATCCTTATCTATTTTATTTAATTGATTTTATTGATCTAAATGTGTTTTTGTAATTATATTTGCTTACCATAACAGCTATTTTCTGAAAATGCCCATAATGGTCTCTTAAAGTTTCAAATGTTCAAACCAACCAGAAAGTTAAATATGCCTATGTAATATGCAGCCAAAGCGATGCCTGTGATTTTGTTTTATTTCACAGCTGCCCTAACGTTCAAGTGTCTTGGAGACCAATGGACTGTATATTGCAGAGTGATACGAGAGAAGAACCTGTGTCAGGACATGAGATGGTATCAACGTTGCTGTGAAACATGCAGGGACTTTTATGCACAGAAGATGCAGCAGAGGAGTTGACCCGTAGCAGGCAGGCTCGTGGGCTCTCGGCTTTTCACAATCACATTATTTATAAATTCACACACACTTCTTCAAGCCAAATATATCAGATTACATATAATTTAATCAAAGTAATTTATTTTTGCCCGCGAAGACATTTTTTTAAAAAGAAAAAGGTTAAATAGCTTTTGTTTGGATTTTATGATCAGAGTTTCCATAATTAAATTTTATATGAATTATTTTGGATACATTTATGAGACTTTTTCTAAAAAATACTATTTTAAATGTTTATATTCAATAAGGTAAGCAACTATTTTGGCATCCTTACTATTCAAAAGAGAAATAAGTAGTGCAGTACTACAGATAGATAAGTTTGCTAGTCTTGTTCACTTGAAATCAAAGGCACTTAAGCCTACTAAATTGCTTACTGTATTGGATAATAAACTATCATACTACCGTGAGTTTATTTTCTATTTAGATGAATAGTTTTTCTGTACTGTATATGGAAATGAAGTCATCTTTATTTTTATTTTGTTTATATTTTGGTGCTCAGAGTCAGATTGACTCCAGAAGTTTTGCAACAGGTTTTGGAACTCCATTCATACTTTATAAAGGGCCACATATAACATGAACTGTTCTTGGAAATGTATTTATGTAGCAAATGTAACACTTGACTCAGCGCATCCATGAATATAGTCAGTTTCCTACGCTACATTTTCATCTTTGTTCCACCAAAATAATCACAAGAATGAATTCTAGGAAGTTGTGGGTAATTTTCATCAACCCTCTGTATCATTTTGTATATTTTTTGTTTGAATGCACTCTGGAGATTGTTGGAACATCTTAAGTTGGTAAGAGCTCTGTGTGCCCTTCAAAATATTCTACAGAAAATTATCTACTGTAATTTATAAATTTTTATATCAGAATTAGACAAACATGGCAAAGTAGGCAATTTAATCATGTGAACATATACTTGAACACAAGTATTGAAGCAGTTAAACACTGTAAACATTTACACTGAATCTCTGTTGCACTTCTTTATGTAAAGTAGAGAAACACCTTTCTAAACCTTGGAACAACTTTTGAAAGAAGTCTGTGCTGTTTTAACATGTCATTTGCTTTTAAGTATACCAAGCAAAAGGCCGGTGGCTAACCTGCAATGTTCACATGTAATTTCTTGGAAATTTCTTTTACCAGTGGAAGAAACCTAATGCTTAAGATGAATTGGGCTACATTTTCAGGTTTAAAAAAAAGCTTAGAAAATACTTCTGTGATAAATTGCTTCATTAAAAAGTTATTAAAAATACACTTTTACAATTTTGTGAAATGTGAAGAAAACACTTTCCTTATGAAATTTTGTACATCAATCACTTGATTTTTATATTTTCAATAAGTATAGAGATGTGTGTGTGTATATATATATATATATATATATATATATATTCCATTTATATACCATTTCTTATTCCTTAATATCTGTTTTCTGTTCATAATAAAATCAGGACAGGGAGAAAACAAAGCAGACACTGAACAGCAGAAGCTGCATAATTTTGAGTTATATTAGTGATTCAGACACAAAATTAATTCCAGAATTGACCTGAAATAATGATTGAAGAACTATAGATATTTTTACTTTCCAGCCATGTGTATGTAAGATTTTTCTCTATTATTGTATTAAAGTGCTATTCACTGATATTTAGATGAACTGAAAACTAAGCAGCATGAAATATGTGCCTCCATTGCTGATAAATACCCTTCCTATATCTGCATATCTCATCTCTGCATCTCTCATCAGTAATTCTGTCTTGGTTGTGAGTGTACAGAGCCTGATACACAAAACAATGATTGATTCTTCCTGCTATGCTTTTCTCCTTAATCATGTCACCAGCTGATAGGAAAATAAGACTCTCCCAATCACAACACTACCATAAAAATGTGGCAAATTTGGTAGTAGGATTTTTATATCTTTAGATTCTTTCCCTTCTTCCTGCACCCCATTTTGTAATAACTCAAATTGAATAAAACAAACATAAACGTATCCAAGTCATGAAAAGAGCTGAGTTACATGGCCCAGTATTCTTTAAAATATATCATTGCCTTTCTTTCATATAGGTAACATATGGCAACTGCTAGATTCCTCCATGTTGTTCTGTTCAGGGGTTCATTTTGGAATAAGAGGTTGGTCCCATCATTTCAACATTGTACTGCTTCAGGCTATTACACAATTTCACTTTTGTTTCAGCTACCCTACTCCCAAGTAATTGTCTTCATGTTTCATTCACTGCTATATATGGTTCTAGGAAAACCATATCAGGATGGTAGCTGCAACACTGCCTGGGGACCAGAGGCAAAAAGATTGCATGCTCACATCAGTCAGAATTTGGTAATAAATTCATTAAGCCCATCTCCTGACTTCAATTCTGATATATTAGATGGCCAAAATCTAGCAAATTTTATTTACACTATAGTTATTATTGAATGCTGTCAGCTTAGTAGAGAAAATATTTGCGATATTGGTTAATATCTGTAGCTTGGGTAAAGGATGAGGGTGGAGGTTCGTTCTCCAAGCTTGTGAGTTAGTTTTTGAACATTTCGTTACCAGGCTAGGCAATATCTTCAGTAGAATTTAGGTGATGTCAGTGACCAAATGTTCGAAAACCAACCCACATGAGAGAATAATATTGTGTATTGTGAATACAGTTAAAGTTGTCTTGATCCTTTCTTGTTCATGACATGGGATGAAATGAAGACATTGCGTGGCAGAAAAATGTCACAGAGACATGTTGGTACCATGGTTGGTGCAGGTAACGAAAGGATTATAGATGCTGCTGCAAGGAAAACTGATCCTAAGCTACGTTTGTCTCATGTCCTATAAAACTTTAATGTCTAAATATTTTATTTGTTTATGTATTATACTACTCAACTCCAATGACTCTTGGGTGGTTTACAAACAAACATACTACAAAACATCATAGCAACCTTGAAAGAGGCTCCACCTATCCTAACCAAAGCCATAAACAAAGAGCCAGGTCTTCAAAGCCCTCCAAAACAGCAGCAGGTTGGAAGCTACCTGGATTTCAGAGGGAAGCTTGTTCTATAGGCCAGGTACTGCAACAGAGATGTTGTATTTCCAGGGTAAATAGCAATGTTTAACCAAAGAAATCTGTAGTGTAACTAGAGATAAGTGTCTCTCAGGTAGCTACAACTTATGTCATTATTTATTTATTTTTTCTAATGTGAGAAAGTGCCAATGATATCAAAATAATGGGTATTTTTATATGCGTGCAAGATGACCCATGAGAGAAGGGAGCGGCCCTTAGATCATCAAATCATCCCCGCAACCCCCAAAGACAAACTTTTGTTTTAATCTCTACCAAGGGGAAGCATTAATTACTGGTTTCCTTTTGGGGCCAGATCAACCATTTGTTTGTTTGTTTATTAAATTCTAATGAAGATTTGTTTTAGCTTCAAGAAGAACTCAGCAACTAAGCATTCACAACCACTAAAAGGAATATTCAGGACATTCATACTCATAACATAACAGCAGGTTTAAACAAATTATGCATGAATAAGCCTATAACTTTGCTGACTACTGAATGGAGTTTACTGTATGTGCTTTTGTCTGTGGGAAGGAACAGACAGCATTAGGCTATCTTATATTGTGTGGAATTATTTTAATTCTGCTCCTGATTATGAAAAAGCAGTTAGCCACACAAAAGTTAACTCCATGTAAAAGAAAAACCTAAAATAAGGAATATAAATATAAAAATTTAATCTATTTTGTGTTCTCACTGCAGCTGTCTTATGTTGCAACTCAGTGATCAGAACAGTGTGATGCTTAGAAAAATCATGGAAAAGGAAAGGTGACTGACCATCTGTAAGCATATGTTGAAAGCAACATGAAAAAGATCACCAAATGCCTGTTATGTAACTTAATCATATAAATGTTAAAACTTTTTTCCCAGTAGAATCTGGCAATGTGTTGTTGCATTTAATTAGATGGTGCAGTGCATTTGTCTATGATTCGTCCTCCTCTCCCAAAGCCATATTAGTTCTAATAAGAAACACTCTTTTGAGAGTTATTTAGCTTCCATCTTATAAAAGGTCATATGCCATGTCAGTTTGCAATCTGGATTACATCAAAATCATGCTGCAAATCAAAGTGTTCCCTCCTGCTTGGTACAGAAAATTCCTCTTTCCTGCTTAAATTGGCTGCGTTGAGTTTTCTTACATTTTTAAATCCTAAAATGCTACATAAGGGTACTATTGCCATAGTTTCAAATCATGCACACAGGTACTAATAACCACATTTGACAGGCCCCTTCATAGCTTTCCTTGCAATTTGCGCAGGCATTACAAAATGCTTGGCATCCAAGAAGGCCAGTTACAATTTCAAGTACCAGAAATGCCCTATCTTTGTTCACGTAATTAATTATTGAAAGCAAAACTAGCTGCTGAGAAGAGGTTACGCTAAAAGGTAAGGGAGAAAGATGGATTTCTCTGCATTGCCGAATAACAACAGCCCTGATAAATTCCTTCAGCTAGAAGTGAAGTCCTTAGCAAAAACATCAGCCTTTTTACAAACCTGGTTGGCAAACTTTCCAGCAGAACCTTTTCCTGAAGAACAGAAGTGGCACAATCGAGTCTATTCACAGGTAAGTAGGTTAAGTTCCAGACTTGGTTCTAATTTGACATAATGAGGCACTGTAGTCAGACAAGCAGAGTTTCCAAACCTTTGGCAATTATTGCGCACCTTTCTTTTTCTCAGCATTGCTTTTGTGCTTTTGACAAGAGTTCAGTAAGAGAATATATGCAAGGCAATAGTGTCACACAACAGTTTATATTTGATCTAAGGGAAACAGCTAAAAGTGAGGAAGTGTTCTGTTCCTCAGTTGCTACAAAATAATAATAAATTCTCTTCTCCCCCCCCCCTCCATTTTCACCCTGACAGGGTTATTATTTTGGGTGAAGAAGTATTTTAAATAAGTAGTGGTAAAATGATAGGGAAGAAGGTTGGGCCAAAGCATAGAGTTTTGTGATGGTATTGTTTAGCTGTCTCACTTGAATTGTGTGATCACTATTGTGATCTTTTGTTATTTTAATACTTGGCTCACTACTGAATCCTGTACATAAATCAGATGAACAAAAGATCTCTTGTTATGT